CTGTTTTTGGTCTCTTTCCTTCTCCTTTCTTTTTTACAGTGTGCTCAACCATCTTATCCAGTCTCTTGACCTCAATAGCCACAGGGCAAATCATGGCTCCCAAAACACCATCCACACCCTTGTTCTTGCTTCTGAGCTTCAGAAACAGATATCTGAGTGTCTACACAATCACCAATTGGGTATTTCACCCGAATTTCACAATCAATAAGTCATATTTTAAAGTTTAGAATGCTTCTTATATGGGAACAATGAGGTGAAGAGAAGTGGAGAGATATAAGAATATGATCATTCTAAGACCAAAATCAGAAGTTTGAATAAAGAATATAAATTTGAATTTGTGGTGGTTTGATCTAAAATGTTATAAATGAATCAATTATATTGCTACACAAAAGAAAAATAACAACTATGAATGAATTGAGTGCATGCTTGTGCAACACTTACCCATCAGACTCAAGTAAACTGTCGATGCAAGGTCAAAAGGTGGTGGATTCCCACGCTGTGTGAGCATTGGGAGAGTTGAAGGTAGCACTTATTCCCCACTCCTCGTATTTCCACAGAAAAGAGAGAATGCACACTGCACTCTCAGGAGAGAACAGTATGGGATAAATAGTTACTTTCTGTCCCTTAACAACAAATCCAGGTCTGGAAGAAGAGCTGATTTGATTGGTGAATTTTGGAGAAAGAACTGAACCTGGTGGTCTGCTCAGACCTCGCTCTCTCTCTCTGCCTTTTTTCTCCCTCCCTCTCTCTTACATCTGCCTACCTACAAGATGGGCAATGTCCTTCCCTTCCTTCTTCTTGCATCTGCCTGCCTGCAGAAGAGCAAAGTCTTACCTGGGCTGCTCACCTGAAGTTCTGGGGGATAAAGTCTGTTTAGAGGGATTATCAGGAAATCCCTTGAGGCTGTCCAACCCAGGTTATATTATTAATTAAACTGATGTTCTGAACTCCATATGTTTGATTTACATAGGACTATTATTTTTAAAGTTTGGAAAGAGAAGAAAGGAGTTTTGTTTATTTGTTTTCAAAATGCCAACACATTAGTAATGATTAAACGTGATCAGATGTCCTTAAACTTGTGGCATTGGAAATTTCTCAAGATACATTTCTCTTTAACCTCATTGAATCATAAACATTGATTCTTTGTTTTGATTCTCTAAAAAAGAATAATCTTCTAAATTCATTCATATGGGCTAGGTAAAATTTTTGTTGTGTTCCACATATTTATTATATCTTTTTGAAAGGATATATAATCATGTAAGGTATTACATGATAATTAAATGAAAAGACTCAAAATATTCAGCATTGTTCCATGGAAGGAGAATATTATCTATCATTGAAAGATTTTGAAAATTAGTATCTTTGATGTAACATAAACATTAATATGTATGGAAAAGACATCCTATGTTCATGGATTGGAAGACAAGATTATTATGATGGCAATACTCTCCAAGCAATCTATGGATTTAGTGGAATTCCTATCAAAATCGCAATGACCTTTTCTGCAGAAATGGAAAAGCTGATCCTAAAATTCATATAGAATTACAAGGGACCCTGAAGAGCCTAAACAATTTTGACCAAAGTTGGGAAACACACTTTCTGATTTTAAAACTTGCTATAAAGCTCTAGTAATAAAAAAAATGTAGTACTGGCATAAGGATAGACATATACATCAATGGAATAGAGTTGAGAATCAGAAATAAGCTCATATATCTATGGTCAATTAACTTTTTTTGTTTGTTTTGGTTTTTTTGCTGAGGAAGATTTGGCCTGAGCTAACATCTGTTGCCAATCTTCCTATACTTTTTATGTGGGTCACTGCTACAGCATAACCACTGACAAGCGGTGTAGGTCCATGCCTGGGAACCGAACCCACACCGCCAAAGTGGAGCATGCTGAACTTAACCACTAGGCCATGGGGCTGGCCCCCATGGTAAATGGATTTGTGATAAGGTTTCTGAGACCATTAAATGGGGAAAGAATAGTCTCTTTAACAAATGGTACTGGATACACACATGCAAAAAAATGAAGTTGAACCCTTACCTCATACCATATACATAAACTAACTCAAAATTGATTTAAGACCTTAAAAGTTAGAACTATACATCTCAGAGAAAAACATAAGGGGAAATCTTCACGACCTTATATTTGGCAATGGCTTCTTAGATATGATATTAAAAGCACAAGCAACAAAAGAAAAAGTGGATAAATTGAACTCCTTGAAAATTAATTTTTTTGTACATTAAGAGACACTATTAAGAGAATGAAAACACAAGCCACAGAATGGAGGAAAATATTTGCAAATCATATATCTGACAAGCATCTAGTATCCAGACTATATAAAGAACTCTGAAAACTCAATGACAAAAAGAAACAACGCGAGGACAAAATAGGCAGAGGGCTTAGGCATTTCTTCCCTAGGGAAGATGTACAAATGCCCAATTAGCTGGCGAAAAGATGCTCAACATTCATCATTAGAGAAATGCAAATCAAAACCAAATGAGATGCCACTTCACATCTGCTGAGTTGACTAGAATTAAAAAGAAGGCAAATAACAAGTATGGGTGATGATGTGGAGAAATTGGAATCCTGGTGTATTGCTGGTGGGAATGTGAAATTGTGCAACTGCTGTGGAAAACAGTTTGGTAGTTCCTCAAAAAGATAAACATAGAATTACCATGTGAGCCAACAATTCCCCTCCAAGGTATGTACAATAAAGAATTAAATAGATGTGTTCAAACAAGAAGGTGCACACAAATGTCAGCAGCAGCACTATTCACAATAGTCAAAAGGTGGAAACAATCTAAATGTCCGTCAGCAATGAATGGATAAACAACTTGTGGTATATCCATGCAATGGGATATTATTCAGCCATGAAAGAGAATTAAACTGATATATCTACAACATGGATGAACCTTGAAAATATTATGCTAACTGAAAGAAGCCAGACATGAGGCCACATACTGTATAATTTCATTTATATTAAATATCCAGAATAGGCAAATTGATAGAGACAGAAAGCTCATTAGTGGTTGCTAGGGGTTGTGGGGGGCGGGGAGGATGGAGATTCAATGGATATGGGTTTTCCTTTGTGGGATGATAAAAATATTCTGAAACTAGATAGTGATGATGGTTTCACAACATTCAATGCCATTGAACTTACCCTTTTAAACGGGTAAAATGCTCAATTTTATGTTATGTATGTTTTACTACAATAAAAAAATTGTGTGTGGACAGGATTTGATGATTCATATAATTAGAAAGAATGATAACTTTTTTTGTCTGGTTAAGGAAATATAATGAAAAGATGCTCAATCATTCTTAGGTAACACTGAACTCTTCACATTCTTGTTTCTTTTGCATGCTATAGTATACTAGTTGTTTTACAAACAGCTCCGGAAATGGGAGGGACCTAGAGTAGAGAAAATAAATATGTGTTCAAGTTTTACATCTTGAAATCACAGAAAAGACATTACAATATTGGAAAAAGTATGAATTGTCAGACTGTCTTTGAAGTGCACATGTTTAGCTAACTATTGTTTCAATACTTATGTTCTATTGTTGAAATGAAATCTTTAGTGATTTCCTAGGGCAAGGATTATGTATGTAAGCTTTGGAAGAAGGAGAGAAAAGGAGCTATTCAGAAACATATGTACAGTTTTAAAATATAGATTTACAAGCACAAGTGTTTTTGTATACATGAAAGACATCTTCTATGAAATGAACTTTTCATTTTCTTGTAAAGGAAGGCTTAAATGTTTCATTCCTTGTAAAACACATTGAGAAAACATTTGTTTCTGACTGACTGTTGATTAATTCCTGCATAACATGCTGACTATTTTTAGGGGAAGAAACTTTTTTAATGAACAAATTGAGTTCGTATTAATTAGGCTTCATCAGTGTGGCTTGCCCTCTCATCCAATTCTGCTCTTTTAAATTTCCCCAACTGCAGGTTCCCAATTACTAACTCCATCTTGTAAACACACAAGATGTCATATCTCAGCTGCTGTCATGAATGGAGTCTTTAGGAAAATTCTACTCTTGCAGAGATGTTTTTAATATTCCCGTTTCTACTTAGTGGACATAAAGGCTTGAGTTTTTACATGGAAGTAAGCTCTGTTCATCTGTTTAGATACCATTTATAAAAGAGAGGTGGGAAGCAAAGACTGCTTATCAGATTTACCTGATATAAATATCTATATTTTAATTGAAGATATCAGATGAACCTAGTGCAGATATCAATATTTAACAACACAATTTTTATATAGATGATAGAATGAAATATGCTCATATAGTATAGTATATGGCATATATATATTGAATACAGTGTATATATTTAATGAGGTGGAAAAAAAGATCTGATTCCTCTGTACTTTTGGGCAAACAGGAGGATTGTCCTAGTAATGGCCGTATTGTAATGGCCTTGCTTTAGCCAAGGAAATTTGAATGAACATGACATCTAGATGGAAGCATTTGAGAATGAGTGGGCAATTCTTCATCAGCCCTTTCCACTATGGTGCCAATCAGAAACGTTTTAGCTGGTGGAGTCTTCATCATCATGAGTTCTCATTTGAGGACAACATGGAACTGAGTTTCCACTGAACCAAAATGAACACGTTGTGTAAGTGAGTTTTAAACCATTAAGACCCAGGAATCGTTTGTTACAGCAGCATAGCCTCGCTTACACCAATACAATATATTATAGACTTAGGTTTAGCAGCATGTACCGTGTGATACATAACGTGTAATATGTATGAGTTTATAAATGTACATGAAGTGCTATGATATATAATAATATATACATATTCCTATATTGTTCTTTCAATAGTAATTTTCTTCTCTCCAAGAAACTGGTGTAACCCTGTACTAGATTAGGGATGTGTTTACTCTGGTTCTTGTCTATATTCTCTTCTTTTGTCATCAAGTTCAGGACAATTCACAGCTCTATTTCTGTGCAGTCGATTCGACACTAATCAAAACGAGACATATTATTTCTTGGTATAAAAGCTGACATATGTATTACGGAGTGTTCTCATTAAGTCTGAAATTTTGGAAATTTAAATCTATAAATTATATCTTCAATAATCTATTTACATTACACTAGCTATTTTCTGTTTCTAATTAGTATTTTGGAAATTGAAAAATTCTGAAAATATGGCTCTGCTTGTGTTTCTAAAAGTCAGATGAAGATGCTTCCTAAAAGTCAGATGAACGATGCTTCACGTGATCTTTTTGCTGTCTCCTTAGGGTTTTCCTGTCTTCTTGGGATTTTTGCTGAAAGTTTCATTGTCATAGAACCCTGCAGTTTTCTTTCATTGAAACATCAAAGTAGTAATTATATATTTATATGTGCAATCTTTTTTTAATTGTCTCTTTCAAGAATTAGGCTGTCACTTGTAGAACTATCTGCTTTGTTTACTCCTTTGTCCCACAGAGGCCAGAACCAGGCCTGCCACGTAGTAGGTTATTAATAACTATTTAATGATAAATGACTGAAAGAACTTTCCAAAGTTGATTTCTTCTCAGCTGTGTATTGTTTTTTCTCCTCCCAGGACCACTTTTATTTACATGAGACTTTAGTGAAAAACCTACAGAAGAAAAAATTGCATGGTTAGTATAAATAAGGCCTCTGTTTTCCCTCCCTCCATCCCACCTGATTTCATCTGGTATATGATAGCAACGTAATTGAAGCATGCATGTGGTTCTGAATACAAATCACATAAGACCATGTAAACCACTTCATTTTGTAACTTTTTTATGATTGTGATTTATGGCAGAGGTGGTGAGACTGGGTGTCAGGAGGGAGTGTTACATTCGTAATTAGAAAGGGAAACAGATGTTGAAGGCTTCGTTTTAAATGATATTTCCATTTTAATAGTCCTTATTGCTCACTGATCATTTTCTGTTTCACCTATTGAAATCCTCCCTGAAAAGATCTGGGTCTCTAGACAATGCTCACCACGTGAGGGCTTCAGAGGAGCGGAGCACTGAAAAATTTTTGATTCATTACACTTATAAAACAAAACTCCCATAGATCCCATGTGTAAGGTCACAGAAACAGAAACAAATTAAAAAATTCTTTTTTTCTTTTTGGAGCCCCAACATTGGATGTATAATCATGTTTACACACTAACTTTTTGACTCTTAAGTTATTACAGAATTTACCCAGCTTATTATCTTGACCAACATCCACTTTGTCCAGCTGATCAAAGGAGAGAAGAGAGAAACCTGTGTCCTAAATCAACCTGACCCCGTTCAAAGGTAAACATTGCTGGGGTAATCCAGTCTGTTTCAGCACACGGAGTTATGCGATGAAAATACCATTTTTGCTCTCCCCACAGAGTCCCCCAAACAGAGCATGGGGCACACAGGCTGATCTGATGGGGCCTGAGCAGCTTTGGTGTACTTCTCTTTTGCTGACGCTGACACTTGGGCAGTGAAAGGATGATCCTGTTGATTTTAGTTCAGTTAGGATTTCTAAGTGAATGGTGTCATTGAATGGAAATTGATATGAAAATAGGGGAAATTTCAGAAATAACTTTAGGCCTATTCATCTCTCCCTCTGCTTCCTTCATGCTGCTCCCATCCCCAGCTTGAATATGGGGCAGTGTCGACATGTCTACCTGAAATTGGAAAGAACTTGAGTGACTACAAATATGTCTAAGTGGAGAGGCTGGAGAACAAGCAGATGCCTGTCTTACCACCTAGAATACATCATGAGGGCAGGCACTGTGTCTATTCTGTTTGTCACTATATCTGCAGTGCCTAATACAGTAACAGGTAGACGGTAGGTGTTCAGTACTTAATTAAGGATTATTAGGCCATCTAACACGTCGGTGACGTTACTCAGTAATAAATGGTCTTTTGCTAGTTGTGAGCAGTGAGTGAAGTAGACCCAGATTTTAGACTCAATAAAGCATTAAAAACGTCTAGATGCAAATCTGCGGGCAAGCTTCTCTTGCCTTAAGGAAGAAACACTTTTTTTGTCTGGTTTCATCAAAGGAAATGATTGTCCACATCTGAACCTGAAGGAGCCAGTCTGCTCCTCCTTCAAACAGAACGCTGTTCTTAGGAAAGAATAAACACCAGCCAGTGAGCAAATGGAGCCATATATGAGATAGGAACTTCAGGTAATGAATTACAGAGATGCCTTGAACAAATCTGCTTTGATGTGATATTCGAGTGCTGGTGGCAATAAGATGTTGGCTAAGCCCGTTTGATAAAGCACATGGAAAGACAAACTTAACCTTCTAGCATAAGAGCCTGTATAAATGCGTGTGTGTGTGCACATCACTCTTTGATCAGTTAATGGAATCCCCACTAAAACACATTTTCACCCCCAAATGGTTGTTAGTCAAGTTTCACCTTTTGCTTTGCATTCTTTCACAATGCCCCTTGACTTCACGGAGTCACTCTCCATTCTACTTCAAAGAGAGGTGTATGTTTATTTTCCCTACTGTGCACTGAAAAAGAAGAATAAAAAGCTTTCAAAGGGAGCATTGCAAATTTGCCTAGAATGTATATCATTGTGTAGAAGAATGACTGTGGACAAGAGCAGACCTGTAAACTCTCAGTCTTTTAAAGGGAGATGTTCTCAATTAGAGACACATCCCAAGCTCTATATCTTTCCATAGGGATGTGTATTGCTCTTCCTCTGAGTAAGGGGACATTTACCAGGTGACACATCAACTTTCAATTAATCAGCACTCCAATTTTTTAGAAAATGAGGGCTTCATTTTATTTCTATAAATAAACTTGAAGAATAAATCCCTAGTACATCGATGACTCAATGCCATAAACAAAATATTTCAGTGCCAACTACATGAAGTCAGTTTCAAACTTGAGAATATATCAAGGCTTCCTCAAATTAGGGTACTGATCTCATTCTTCCCAAGTACTGTCACTGTCACTTTATTTATATTTAGACGCTGTAATTGTAACTTGTGAATAGCTAACAAGAGTAAAGGATCCAGCATAAGAGTGTGGGGTGTTGTTGGAAGATGGTAAAGCTCAAGGTCTTAGTTTCCATATCCTTATCTTTGAATTAATAGAATGCAGATCAAAAAAGAGGCAGAGTGACTTGTCACTGGGGTTCTGAGGAAAAGCCCCTGCTTTTATCTATCACTTACGAAGAAAAAGCACAACTGAGTTATTGTTTAGAGATTTTTTTACTCTTCTTATTCCTATACGGTCATCTGAATTTTTAAAATAGATTTGGACAGGCAGTGTCATTTTTGCATGAGACAATCTGGTGTCTGTCTTGTTTGTCTCACCTGGTGGATCAAGGTCTCTCCATTAGCACCCACACCGCTGTGCAGGGTACAGTGTGTGGCGGCTGGGCATCTGCAGGTGATGGCTTCCAGGTGTTAGCCTACAGGAAATCGCTGAAGGTCGATGAAAACGTCAGAGCTCTAGACATTCAGCTGCAAAAGCTTTGCAGGCAAGGTCATGGTTTGGGTCCTTGTAGCAGAAACCCAAGAGAAACTCTGAAAGTACTGCCCGCATTGTCCCAGAAGGAGAACTGACAGAGTTTGCTCCACTGCAGAAATACAGTTCACACACATAAAATGCCCGCTGCTCCCCAAGGCAAAAAGTAGAGTTTCAAGCGCGAGTTTGAAGGAAAATAAAAACTACCTCTTGAGTGTTGCCTGAGAGCATCAGGTAAATGAGTCTTTTCTAAGAGAAGGCCCCTTTGTCTTTTGGCAAGTCAGCATTTATTCCTTCATGCTCAGTGACAAGAAGTTTCCCCCTTCCAAAATCCAAGCCATCTGTGCTATTAGCAACATAATCAATCCTAGCCAATAAATCACCCCACCCAATGTTCTTGACAACAGAAATTCTGTAGTATGTTAAAATATTATAATAAATGACAGCATAGTATGATCTATGAGGCCTCTTAGTGTTATCCACTTCATCCAGCTGGGAAAATTATGACCTCCAAAATCTCCATAATTTTGAGCACTTATGTTTGTTGAACAGACTTCTAAAAATGCATCAATTTTGTGGGACTTTAAAACCACTCACCCATGGAAGAAGGCCTCAGCTTTTCTTGAAAGAAGACATTGGGATCAAAATGTCTTTTTAATTCTTTCTATGGCCAAGCAGTCACAGAGTTAACAAAAATCAACAACTGGGAAGCTAGTTAATCATGCCAAATGGTATCTTTTAGCAGAAAATAAAAAGTATTTTTGGCATGGCTCATATCGTATATAGTTCTATTTCTTGAGGTCATGTTTTACAAATGAGATATGCTGTCCTTTACTATGAGACTATATATAGTAGCTTGCAAAAATTAAGCCATTAATATCCTCAGTCTCCTTACGGCAAACTAGCTGGGAGAATTCTATTTAAAAAATCCGGAATCAATGTACTGCATCCCCAACCCCCGCAATGGCCACGATGATAATGTGTCTTGTGCAAAATGGCACCACATGACTCGTTATGAACCTTCTTGATTATTTCTTCACCAGGCAACTTTTCTTGAAAACTCACCAAACTTCTGTAATAAAAATAACGTATGGTGATACCCAAACCCAGAAATGATATCCTATGTACACTTATGAAAAACCCTAAGGAGACTAGAGGATTAACTCTTATCAGTAATAGAGGAGATATGAAATATTTAAAGGGAGATATAAATAGGAACCTGTAAGCCATCACTAGGCACATAATATTATAGATGGCTTGAAAATTTGTTTTAGTCCAACTCTGGTATTTCCCCTGCCATGGTGACAGAGTGTCAATTATGTTGTACAGGTATGTTGCGTCAGGAAAATATTATTCAAGAGAGAGCTAAAGTCCAACTAGTGTGAAAGATGTTGAAATAACAAACTATTTGGGGAGAAAATTTCAAAACTATAAAATATAGCACAGGTGGTAAAACTGAGAGGAAGCTGTGTTCTTCTGCAAGACTAGTAGATATTTACATACTGAAATCAATATAATTCGTATGTCATATATTATTTATTGTCTAAGTATACACAAATACTTAGCGATATCTACACAGAAAGTCATTCTGACAATCCAGAGCTCTGAAATACATTACATCATTCTAGAGATTTTTCTCTTGAGTGACAAACTGTCTAACTTTTAAAATATCTTCAAAGGATGTTTCTCAGAATAGTCCTGCTTTACTCCAGCATCCTTCATCACTTGTCAATCAATAAATCATTCATTCAATCAATCAATCAATCAATCAGAACTAGGTATTCTCATAAACAATCACTCCAGGACTTTTTCATTTCGTCAACCAGTGAAATTAAAAAAAATACAAATTGAGAATTGACACATATTATATTTTAACATCAAAAAAGAAACAGGGATATATTTCAGATTAAAATATCATCCTTTCCAAGAATGAAGAGCTGGGACCTTACGTTGAGATGTATGTTTACCCATGCACGCACACAGAGTTAGCAGGTCCTGGTGGTCTAGAGGTTAAGATGTGGCGCTGCCACTGCCCGGGATTGTTTCCTCCTGGGGAACCACACCACAGGTTTATTGGGACACACCTAGACCCACCCCTTATGTCTGAGGATGCTGGTGTCTTACTTCAGTGTAGAGTCGAGTAGTCGTGATGACCTTCAGAGATCAAACTATTTACCTTCTGGCCCTTTATACCAAGCATTTGCTGATTTCCGCCTTAGAGTTCTTTTTTACCCTTTCTGTTACTTAGTTAACAACTTCATATCTAGTTCACTGTTTCTTAAGAAATATTAAATTCTCTTTGTTCAAATAACTGGGTGACATTTCTGTTTTCAAACTGATACAATGTGAAACATTTGCAAATTAACAAGAAATTGGCAAGTAAGAGGACTGCAAAAGAGACACTGGAAGGAGGTAAACAGAAAACAATCATAGTTGAAAAGGACCTCCTGAAAGAAGCCAGCAAGTCGCCAGACTCTGGAATTACCATGTTCCTAAATGCTAAAGAAAACAAAATGGAAAGTTTTGTACCAAGGAGAAATGATAAACGGTCAGGAGAAACTTTTTAATTGTATTTACTAAAATCAGATAATCCTGCAACAAGAATATTTATGAACAATGCCATTGCCTTGGAGACAGACACCAACAACAGATCAAAAGAACAACTTTAAAATCAAACAATATTTTAATGAAAATGAACTATGAGTTTATTTAGCATTTCCCTTCACTCTGCTCTAATAATTTTAAATAGATCTCATCAAAGTTGAAAATATGGGCTCAGATTACATCTCCATACAATTTTATGTTCCTTTTCTTTCTATGGCCCTTTTTTTGCTTACAAAAAAATAAATAAAAAGCTGTGTAAGGATGAGAAAAGAAATGTAGGTGTCTACTCATTAGTTTTATTCCATCTTTTGACAGGAACCCATTAAGGATATAACTAGTGGGAATAGAATTTCAACGTGATATTCCATTAGGCAACTTACTTTTGGCTGCTTATTAAGAAGTGTTGTGTAATGTACTGTTTTAATGACTGAATCAGGTTTTTCCTACCTAGTACACAAGGAAAGCTTTCTTGGCTTTCAAAAGTAAATGTCAGTCACTATAGAGAGATCACAGTTTTTCTGCCGTCTCTGGAGATTTTATTAGCAACATTTCTTTTTATCAGAAGTCACTTTTGTAAGACATCAAAACCTTATTAATATTCTTAGCCTTTCAATATTAGAAAAGCCAGCTAGCTCATGAAGATTTTCCACCAGAATTTGTGGTTAAGTCTTCTATACTTTCTAACAGGATTTTACTTTATATGTACACACACACACAGAAAAGCACACATAATATACACACACACATACTTCTCAATGAAAAACAATTTTTCCCTTTTTATTCTGACGTTTCTTAACACACGCTCAATGTAAATTGGTAACTGCTTTGTATTTGAACCCTGACATAGTCTTTAATTAGGAAAAAATATATATGTGTGATAGAAATTTGCATTGAAAGGAAGTGTAACAACTGGAGGAAGCTTTGAACATGCCCTTGGTACTCAGACAATTGAAAAATGATCTGATTTAATGACAGTAAAATCCCAGAGAAAATATTTCTTATGGTATCCTTTTGTATCAAGGCTGCCTCTCTATCAAGGGTTGGACAAATATGGATGGTGGCCCAAATCTGGCCCACTGCCTGCTTTTGTAAATAAAGTTTTATTGGAACACAGCTAGGCCCATTTGTTTACATACTGTCTGTGGCTGCTTTCGCATTGTAAGAACAAATTTGAATAGTTGTAACAGAGACTAATAAGGCTTTCAAAGACTAAAATATTTACTATCTTGCCTTTTGCAGAAAGTTAGCTAACCCTGAACTATACAAATCCAGTATTTCTGATTATATTATTTGACCTCAAACTTTATCTGCCTTCTTTCATTAGTCGTCAAAGAATCAAAGGTTGGAAAATGTGAATTTATGCCTTCCCAAGTCTCAGCATTTCTAAAATGAGCACATTACCTTTGGAGTTCCAATACCTTTGGAATTTATTCCATTTCTGATTTTCTTCTGCTGCCTGTCTTGACGTCTAAGTAGACTCATTTCCTCCTTCTCTCTCATCATCCATATTCCTTGACGAGCAAGTCTTTCCCCTTCCACTCCTCGTGCACCTTCCTCTTCTCTCTATTCAAACTGGTACAATTTCAATTCCTTTTCTAGATTATTGTAGTAGCATCTACTACCCTCTCCTCCATGCTTTACCATCTTCAATCCATCCCCCTCATTATAAATAGAACAATATTTCCAGAATGCAAATTGAACCTGTCACTCTTTTTATACAATCCCTTTATTGCTTTTCATCATCTCTAAGAGTAGTTCTTAACCTTGTTCTCAAAGCACATTGATACGAGAAGAGCTGTTCTATTTTTGTTTTATCTAGATAAATAGATAGATAGAGCTCACTGGAATTAACTGAATTTTGAGATTATTTTTTGATAAACAAGAAAGGATTCTAGGTTATCCTTCTGTTTATCTTCACTCCTTGGTATTCAGAAGTGTTTCTTAAGCAAGAGAAAATGAGACAGGTTGTAGTTAGGTCACCTGAAATTATGCATTATAATGGATATGCCCATGGAAGGATGGGGCCCATGGGAATTCTTCTTATGAGAATTGGTGATCTATAGGAGAAGGCCCAGAATCTTAGCATGTAATGGACCCAGGACAACTTTCTCCATGGAATCTCCCATCAATTCATCACAAAGTCCTTCTACCTGTGATGATGATCTATCCCTGGTTCCTTTATCATCCTTTTGTCTTCATTACCTCTCTATACTTGACATGCTGCCTCCTCAGCCTACGATACTCCTTCTCATCTTGATGTTTGATGCACTCCTATTTATCCTTCAAGACTTGGCTTAAATAATCGCTATTCAAGAGCAGTCTTTTCTGGTCTCTCCAGCCAGAGTTATACATC